TTTTTACAGGAAATTAACAAACGAACAGAGATATAAAAATATTCAGTTTGCAAGTTATAGAAGGGTGAAATTAATCACACTTTCATGCCTCCTCCATCTCAGGACCATTCTTGGTTTGATAATTAAGTTTAATTTTAATTACTAATTTAAAATTGAATGCCTTTCAGTTTGTATCTGTAAACAATGCTCCTAATTCCAGTACAGAATTGAATTTCATAGGAAATACACAAGACAATCATGAACATTTTCTCAACCTTTATTATACAAGTTCAAGGTAATGCACTACATCAGAGGTTCTCAAACTTTTTCAGTCTGAGATATCATTTTTTGAGGGTTAACAAGATTCACCCCCACCCATTTGTCAGGTAGCTAAAAAACAGCAGTTTATTTGTACCTAAGTACAAAGCTACATAATGGACTATTTGTTCTATGCCACCCACAGGTATATAAACCCATATTCTAGCACTGTAAGCCTTTAACACACTGTGGGGTGGGGGGCAAAATCAGCAGAGAATTACTACCACTATAAAAAAATGCAAGTACAACAATAAGGTTTTACGGATACAGTTTCTTTTAAAATTATTCCATAACATTAAACATTCAATCACAAAACATGCAGAATAATAAAAAGAATGGCTGGATATGGTCCAGTGGTTAGCATGCCTAGTCTGAGACTGTATATACAAGGATTCATAGTTTACATCCTATTGTTGCAAAAACTTGCTCATTACTTTGGGGAAGTGGATGCACTATAAGAGTGACAGTCAAATCCAATAATCTGGTCAGAGAACAGTAGCTGAAGAGTTGGTGGTATGTGTTATTCCTTTTAGTCTATGAGTTTAAAATTAGGGGCATCTATCTGAAAATAGCCCTTATGTAGTTTGCACAAATATACACAACAAATTAAAAAGGAAATATTTTTCCTGCAGCACAATCACTCAGTAAAGAGGTTGAGAAGTTGAAGCAACTCTCTCTCTGAATAAATCAGTATTAAAACTTCAGAGATTTTTGTATCTTTACAACTCCTTCACAACCTCTATAAACCATAGTTCAAGAACATATGTACTACATGTTACAAAAATATAACCCATTCAATAAAATGCATGAAAAAACACACTATCATTGATTAACATGTATGCCAAGGAATGTTTGAAAAATTAATAATAAGCAAACCTATAAAGGTGATCCATATAATTTACAAAGTGGTAAGTCAATATCATTTCTAAATTGCAGACAGTGAGATCAAAATTGCTTAGGTTAAGCAGATCTATGGGAAGTGGTGAGGCCACGGTCTGACCACTTTTTCATGGCATGTATAGCTACAACTTATGTACTAAAACTTGCTTCTTTTAATTCAGTACATTACATTGTGTGTATGCAGTACTTATAGTTAAAATGGCTCAAAATTCAATCTCATAGCATTCAATTTTCAAGAATTTTCTGGGGGACATGACTCCAGATCCTCCTAGAAGTGGCAATGTGACAATAGCCTGATCACTCAAAAATTGCTTCCTATGGAAATGTTAAGGTTAATATTTCAAATAATAGGGATGTACAAATATCACTTTTGGGCTACTAACTGGCATCAATATTTGGAAAAAATATTGGCTGATATAGCTCCAAAATCACTATGGACTAAGGTTGGTACCTCTCTCAGTGTTGTAAAAATTAAGAAGGATGAAGATTCCTTTGCACGGTAGAATGCCAATAAGAACATCCTTTCATCAGTGGCAGAAATAGCTCAGAAGTACCTGGGCCTATCCCCAAGTCCAGTACCAAGTGAGAATCTCTTTAGTTCAGGGGAGACATCATTGAAACAAGCAGGAATATGGAGTCAGCCAAAACATAATGAGTAGCACCTGTTCCTCCAATGATAACGTCAACTACCAAAAGTAAATTCTTTAAAATTCAGCAAAAAAAAAAAACCTGAATCTTCTTTTAAAAATGTTCTGCATTGCTATGAGGAAAAGTTTTTTGTTTATTTCCTTACAATGAAATAGATTTTGTGATAGGACAAAGAGTTATGGGCTCAGTATTGATTGGCACATTTATGTTAAATGAATAAAAAATCTTTCACTTCAGTCCAGGATAAAAAAAAAAGATTTTTCTCTTGACTAATAGTCACATAAAACTATTTCAGCAATCTTCTCTCAGTAACTGCTCATTTACATGTAATCAATAATAAATTCTCATGATTTATACAAAAAGGAAAATTCATTAAATCAAACAAATCAGACATATAAGATAAGAAGGTGTCATTTAAGGTTGTAAGTAAAAGAACCTTATTTCTCCTTCTTAAGCTTAACTTTACTCAAAGGTAGAATTATTTTTTGATGAGAAACTTGGAATTTCCTGTTATACACGGACATTTCTAAGTAGATCATAAATAAATAACATATATACTGGAACATATATTACAAAAAAAAATCTAAACCCATATACCCTGAAAACTCCATGAATAGTATGTATATAGTTTGTAATATGTTTTCCTTTTCTTTTATAATACAAAAAATGTGATTTTAAGACTTTTATATTATTGTGTTACACCTCCAGTCGTTAACTGATTTTCCGTAACTTCGTTCCGACGAAACTTTAGCGACACAAGTCCTTACTTAATAAAACTGGTTTATTCTTTCTGAATATAACTTTACCGATACACTTATTTTCAACAGTCGCTCTATAACAAACGTTTTAACAACGAACGTTAACTTCAACAATACTTTCTGACTGCAGTTCAATTACTCACTACCTACACACATTGTCTTGTCACGTTGTGAGCGTCTTATATATATATACCAGACAAACATATATCTAGTAATCTCCCGAAAATTCACGAAGATTCGAGAGAACGAGTGGCGTGACACTAGTCACGTGACCTCGCTGACGCAAAAATTGTATTGTAGGCATATTTTTAAGGTTTTTACAGTTATACGTACATATTGTTACGTTTCTGGTCGTTAGTTAATTTTCCGTATAATTTCTTTCCTATGAAACTTTAGCGACACAAGTCCCTTCTTAAGTAAAAACTGGTTTATTCTTTCTGAATACAACTTTGCAATACACTTAATTTCCATAGTCACGCTATAACAAACACTATAATTCACAATGAATTTGTCTCACGTGCTCGACTCAACTGTCAATTACACATTGTTGTCGTCAATTCTTGGCGGCTTATATATACAAGACTACCAGTAGCCTCTCGAGACTTCAAGAACCTTCCAAAATATGACGTGTTACTAGCGTCACGTGACCTCCGCTGTCGTAACACTGCTCCTTTCTTACGATTGTT